GTGTGCGTGGGTGAGCGTGAATGTGCGTGGGTGTGCGTGTGCGTGTGAGTGTGCGCGTGTGCGCGTGCGTGCGCGTGTGTGCGTGCGTGCGTACGTGCGTGCGAGCGAGCGTGCGCGTGTGCGTGTGCGTGTGCGTGTGCGTGTGCGTGTGCGTGTGCGTGCGCGTGTGCGTGTGCGTGTGCGTGTGCGTTTGTGCGTGTGTGCGTTTGTGCGTGTGTGCGTGTGTGCGTGTGTGGTGTGTGTGGTGTGTGTGGTGTGTGAGATTTGTGTGGTGAGTGTGGTGTGTGTGGTTGTGCGTGTGGTTTTGCATGTGTGCCTGTGTGCGTGTGTGCGTGTGTGCCTGTGTGCCTGTGTGCGTGTGTGTTGTGTGCGTGTGTTGCGTGTGGCCGTCTGTGCGGTGTGCGCCGTGTGCGCGTGTGTGCGCGTGTGCGAGCGTGTGTGCGCGTGTGTGGGTGCGTGTGTGTGCGTGTGTGTGCGTGTGTGTGCGTGTGTGTGCGGGTGTGTGCGGGTGTGCGTGTGTGTGCGTGTGTGTGCGTGTGTGTGCGTGTGTGTGCGTGTGTGTGCGTGTGTGTGCGTGTGTGTGCGTGTGTGTGTGCGTGTGTGTGCGTGTGTGTGCGTGTGTGTGTGTGTGTGTGTGTAAGTGGGTGTGTGTGTGTTCCCACGTGTGATTCTGTTCCCCCACAGTGTTTTTCTTTGTTCCCCCACATTGCGTGTTTCTGTTACCACCGTGTGTGTGTGTTTGTATTTGTTTCCCACAGAGACGTGGGTGTGTGTGTGTGTTGTTTGTTTGTGTGTGTGTGTTTGTTTGTGATTTTTTGTTCCCACAGAGGTGGTGGTGGTGTACAGTCGGGGCCCTGTGGAAGGAACCCTTTTCGTTGGGGAGGGGCTCGGTGTTCCTTAAGTGTTTCACAGCTTGCTTCAGGTTTTCCTTCCGTTTTCGATCGCAAATCGAAGGTTAACTTATGGAAACAAGGGGCCTCGTTCCTTATTTAGGGCTCCTTAGTTCAAGGCCACGACTGTATGTGTTTGGGCCCCCTTCTTAGGGGCACGAGCCTGCCCCTCGCCGAGCAGGAGCTGCTCGTCGACCGCCAGAACCTCGGCTCGTCCGCGGGGGCGCGGCGCCTCTGCAGCGGCGAGGTCGACATAGGCACCACGTCGGGCGCGGCCCCCTACAGGGGGATGTTCGACGAAATATTGAAAAAATGCACCAAAAATAGTCAAAAAAATAGTCCAAAAATAGTGCAGGGACTATTTTGGTCTTTTGGGGGGTCTTTTGGGCGATGTTCGATGAAAGATTTAAAAAATACCCCAAAAGTAATCAACAAATATTACAAAAATAATCCAGGGACTATTTTGTTAGTATTTTTTTGCCTTTTGGGGGTCTTTTGGGGGGTATGTTTCATTTTTGGTCGAAAATCCCACTGCAGGGGGACACGCCCGACATAAACATAGGCACCATGTCGCGCGATTGGCACAGCGACGAGGCGTCGGTGGTCCTGCGGTCGCCTTCGGGGCCCGCAGTGTACAAGTGCGCCGGGGAGGCTGGAGTCACCGTCGGCCAGTTGCCAATCTCGGGCCGGACGAAATGGGGGGGAGGGCCAGGGGGGGTACGAGATCTGCCGCATGCAGCTGGTTTCGGCCCCACCGAGGGGCCCATTCCTCGATACATGGCCGCCTCCGGCGCCGGGAGGCGCCGGGAAAATCAGCCACGTGAGCTGATTCTCAAACCCTCCTTTGTTATCCCCCCCTTTCGCCCAGCCCGACAATCGCTTGGGATGGCATAGCGGTGTTCATGCGGGCAGGCGGTGCAGTGGAACAGTGCTTGCGCCACATCGGGACGACCGTGTCGATGGAGCAGATCATGTGGATGTTTACTGGTAGCGACGGGCTTGGCGAGTCCTGCAAGATGTGGAAGGACTTGGCAGGCAGCGGCGGCAGCCATAAGTGCGTGGACGCGTGCATCGAGCGATGGGTCCCAGGTAACAAGAGCGGCACTCTCGATGTCTTCGAGAAAGTGTTTAACCTCACGCTGGACATCTCCAACAAGGAACTGTACAACGCGTCCGAGGATGACTACGAGATTATCCAGGGAGTTTTGGGGAGCGATCACGCCATAGGTTTCGTCGGCTACAACTACTATCAGAACTCCTCAGGGCTCCTCTCCCTGGTGCCGCTGGTGACCCAGATTGAGCAAGCCTTCTGCATGCTAACTGCTGAGGGGCGCTACCCCTTCTCGCGGCAGCTCTTCATGAACGTGAACCTGGCCGCGTCAGCCATGGCGTGGGAGCTTCTCGACTTCGGGCTCGGTGACAGAGGGCAGCATCTAGTTGGAGACGCAGGCGCCTGCCGCTTGAGCGATCGTGTAGTGCGGGACGCGAAGCGATATGTTACATCACACTTCCACCCCGATGAGTTCGATGAACAGGAGGTGGAGGGTACCTTCGAGGTCTTCTACTTGTCTGTGACGGGGCTTCTGCTCGTCGGGTGCCTGTTTGGCTTGTGCCTTGCGAAAATCACGTCGCTGGAGCGGGTCAGGCGCAGGATGCCGTTGCGTTTCCGGAAGGCTGAAGCCCTCAGACCGTTGATGGGAGACCAACGCCCGGAGAAAGCCATGGAAGACGTCGTCATAGGGAGGGCATACGACGATTCGCACGAGGACGGCAGAGTGGACCCGAACATGCAGCTGGCGAGTATGCTGGATGCGTGCGGGCCGGAGGTCAGCGGCTACCTCTCCTGGAGAGACGTGCGCGGCCTGTGGGTCGCGGCCTCGCGGCTGGGCGACAAGCTCGAGAGGCAGACCTCGGTAAGCTCGGAGGAGCTGCTCAACAGCCTCCTGGACGAGGTTCGTGTTGACCCAAAAACGGGGTCCAGCGACAAGGGGGGTGGTGGAATAGATTTGGTGCGACAGGTTTGTGGGGGTGCAAAGCGTCTGGGGCATGCAAAATACATTCCGGGGAGCAAGCGTATTGCTGGACCTTTGCGTGCAACACGTCATTTGCAATACACTGCAATACAATTCTCCAGCGCAGTACATTTGCAACACACTTGCCCCAAATCTATTGCATCACCCCCTTTCAGCTGGAAGTCGGGCCTGTCCCTCTACAGGAGGAGTATTCAAAAATAGTCAAAAAATAGTCTGGGGACGATTTTGCTTGTATTTGTGGTACATGTTGGGGCACTGTTTTGGTATATCTTTAATTTGTCGTTCAAAGCCTGCCTGTATGGGGGACATGCCGACCTCAAGCTGGACCCCCTTTTCGTGGGGGCCCCAAAAGTATACACCACCACCACCACCACCACCTCCCTCACTCCCTCCCTCGCCCAGGAAAGGAGGAGGGGAAGAGGAGGGCAGAGGAGGGAGGAGGAATCGACGTGGTGGTGGTGCATGTTCTTGGGACCCCCTTTTGGGGTCACCCAGACCGAGGTGTGGTCGGCGATGGACTCCGAGAGCCCGGCGGGCCGAGCGCTGCAGTTCTGGTTCATGCAGGCGCCCTCGCTGCAGTGGTCCCTCACCCTCAGCGGGGAGGCCTCGGGCAGGGGGTCGACTGCAGAATTGATGCACCCCCAAACTGGTTCGAGACTGTTTTTTTTAGGGTCGGGCGATAACCCGGGTTGTCGGGCTTGCCCCCCCTCCCTCCCCCCCAGGATAACCTAACCTTGCCGGTTGTGCAGGTCCGCGGGAGGGGGGGCGCGGGCATATGCAGGGTTGCCCACAGCGCGAGGGTTAGGTTATCGGCCGGCCCCCTCATCCCCCCCCCCCCCGGGATAACCCGGGTTATCGCCGATTCCAAAGAATACGGTCTCTTTGTTCCGTCGAATTTTTACGAAAAACATTCAGACTGTTCAGCAGATCTATTGAACAGTCCTGGTTCGTGCAGGCGCCCTCGCTGCAGTGGTCCCTCTCCCTCAGCGGGGAGGCCTCGGGCAGGGGGTCGACTGCAGAGTTCGAAGAAGAGAAAACGCCATAAACATAAACTCTCGGCGCTCCGCGCGGATTTCTTGGATCCGCCCTGGCCCCCCTTGGCGGCGCCTCCGGCGCCGCCCCTGGCGCGCTCCGCGCGCCAGGGAGGGGGGTCCAGCACGTATCCAAGAAATCCGCGCGGAGCGCCACAAGTTAGGTGTTGCTAGAGGTGCCCCTGGGCCGAGGTGCCCCCGGGGGCGCCAGGTATGACCTCGCGCCTTACGTTCAGATCAGCGCTTCCGCGTTGAAGCGGCGTGCAGGGGTTCGTCCCGGGCGTGCGCGATGCTAGAACTTTTGCGCGAGATGTTCGCGTTGTGCGTTCCGGTGGCGTTTCAGTTCGGGTTCCAGGTAATAACGCATTCTTGAAAGGGGTCGCCCATTCATATCGTCCGCCGTCGTCCAAACATCGCGAAGCACCCAGAATGTCAGTGGTGCGTTTGGCCGGGGAAGTAGGGCAAACTCGCGGGCATGCCCATGGAGACCAACAGGACCTTGCGGTAGGCCCAATCACCCGTCGACGTCATTTCTGCGTCGGCCGCGGGCGCGGAACTACATTGTAGGATCTTGTTTAGCGAGCGTTCCTTCGTGCATGAGGGCATGGGCGGATTTGTCCGTGGAGGAATTCTTCAGCGTGGCGATGTAAATCAGAGTGAGGGGGCCGAACGGTCTTGCAGTGTCCCTGGGTGCGTGGCTGAAGCGGGGATCCACAGTTAGGATTATGCTTGTTGTTGTTGTTCTTATTGTCGTCGTCCTGGCGGCTTGGTCGCGGCGCGGGTGGGTCGCGGCGCGGGCGGGTCGCGGCGCGGGTGGATCTCGGGTGGTTTGCGGCGCCGGTGGGTCGCGAGTGGGTCACGGCGTGGGTTAACCGTTCGGTTCCCTCATTGACTGCTCTGGGGGCCCGCTTGGAGCTGTCTTGGGGCCCTCTTGGAGCCTTCTGAGGGCCCTAGGAGGTCCCCAGGGGAGCCCAAGACGGCTCCAAGAGCGCCCCAAGACAGTTCCACGAGGGCCCCGAGAAAGCCGCAAGATCGGTCACGCAAGAAACACAACGCGTGACCGCTCTTGGGGTCCTCTTGGGGCGGTCCTGGGGCCCTCTTGGGGCCGTCTGAGGGCCCCTAGGCCGTAGGAAGGGCCCGAGGGGGCCCCGAGACAGCTCAGGGCCCTCAGACGGTTCCAAGAGGACCCCCAGCGCGGTCACGCGAAGCCTCTCTTGCGTGACCGATTTTGAGGCCCTCTCGGGGGCCTTTTCAGGTCCTTTTAGTGGCCTCTTGGAGCCCTCTCGGGGCCTTCCTGGACCCTTGCCAAGGCCCTCGGGCGGGCCAAACAGGCCCAAAAACACTTGTAAGAGGCCCCCAAGAGGGCCCCCAGAGGCCAAGAGTGCCCCAAGACTCGTCGAAAGCATCCCTAACTCTCCAAACCTATTCAAACAATTCAGGGAATCTCCAAACGCAGAGGCCCTCACCTACTCTGAAGAATGAATTTGTTCGGAGGTGATCTCCAAAGAGGGCAAGGGGCCGCTCTGGGCCCCCGGGGGGGGGGGGGCAGTCCGGAGGAGCTCGGAGGAGCTCGGAGGGGCGCCACCGGGCAGTGGCCCCCTCGGCGGCTGCGGCGCGTTCGGGTCGCAACGAAATCCCCTGCGCAGTCCACGACGTCGCTTGTCCCCGCCTCCTAGTTTGACGACGTTTAGTTTGACCAGGACATGATTTGACGAATCTTCGTCTCAGGATTCGCACAGAGTCGAATCGTCAAAGCAAGTTTCCCTTCCTGAGGGCACTCTTCAAAATCCCGTCAAACTTTTGCGAGGATGTCTCGGAAAGTCGTTCGCGCCAAATCTCGGCAAAGTTCGTCAAATGTCGTCACATTCCGTTTCAACCTCGTCAAATTAAGATTCGTCAAATCGCGTCATCGTCAAAATTGTTGTGTCAAACCTCTTGGGAGAGGGCAACAATGACACGAGGGGGATTGCGTTGCAACCCGAGCGCGGCGCAGTCACCGAAGGCAGGTCTCCTGGAGCCTTCAACAATCTGGGGGCATGGTAGGGCAGTCGGCCAGCAGTCCCGCTCTGAGGTCGTTCGGGCCCCTCATTAACGGGCGAAGAACGGTATGAAATAAACTTTTTCGCTGTCGGGGGGCGCCTGTCCCAGGGCGGCTGGAAAGTTTATACCCTTACGGTGGCACCGTAGGGGTATACATTTTCCAGCCGCCCAGGGGAAGGTGTCCCCGACGGCGAAAAAGTTTATGTCATACCGTTCTTCGCAACGTTAAATGGCAGGGTAGTCGGCCAGCAGCCGCGCTCTGGGGTCGCTCGGGCCCCTCAGCAGGTTCTCCAGGGGTGGACGAGCGAGCTCCCGGAAGGCACCGCAGCCCCCGCTGCCAAGGTGGCTGCCCGGTGGCGGGCCGCGGAGGCCATCACCGAGGCCGCGCGCGAGCGCCGGCGTGACGCCATAGGTCCCCTCCTCCTCCTCGTCCTCCTCCTCCTCCTCCTCCTCCTCCTCCTCCTCCTCTTCTTCCTCCTCCTCCTGTTGAGCTGTGAGGAGGCCAGAATATGATCATCAGGCCAAAGTCGGGGGGTGCCGGGGGCTCACTCGCAGCGTCCGCATTCGCTACGACGATGCTTTGCGGCAGTCCTCGAATGCTTGTCGTTTCGCGCATCCCCGCCGCCCCGTTCAGAGAAGATGCCCGGGCGAGTCGCCGCGATCAGGGAAGCGTAGCAGCGCGCGGTGAAGCGCAAAACGGGGCAGCCGCTGCCCGTGGGACGAGGGACGTGGGGCAATGGAAGAACAACCCCAGCTGTGTCGTCGCCACGAGCCCCAGGAGCGCCCCCCCACAGGGCCGCGCACAGGGCCCAAGATGGTCGCGGGGGCTCCCTCGGGGCTCCTGTAGCCCCCCCCCATTGGCCGCGCGATAGCTTCGGGGCTCAGGCTCCCACGATTTCATACGACAGCCTGTTCCCATGATCTCGTCGGGGCTTGGGCCCCAGCGACATCACGCGGCCAAACGGGCCCGGTGGAATTCCTGGTGATGCCAGAGAGGGGCCCGCGAGAGCCCGGAGAGAGAGCTCAGAGAAAGTTCCCGCCGGGCATCAGCAAGCGTCGCGCCAAATTCCGTCTGACGGCATTTGGCGCGATGCGTCGCGCGCCCCTCTCGGAGCCCCCTTGGGCCGCTCTTGGGGCCCTCTCGGGCCCGCTGCGGCTTCTCTTGGCGTCCTCTCGGGCCTGTCTTGGGCCCCCCCTTGCGGCCTCCCAGAAGCTTCGGGGGGCCCCGAGAGAGCCCCCCCAGCGAAGACCGGATTTTCTCAGACGTTCTACGCCCAGAGGGCTGGGTGCTGGAGAGATCGAAGGGCAACTGCAAGGCATCGCAGGCCCAGCTGGAGGGCATTGCAGCGCATTGCGGGGTCTCTCACAGAGTACTGCGTGGCGCTGTAAGATCTCAAGGTTCTCGGCGAGGTTTTTGCATGGGTCTCTTTATGGTCTCGACATGTTTTTTTTCGCAGGGTGACAGCAGGGTTCTTTGCAAGGTCTCTGCGCGGGGGCCTTCGCAGGCGTCGCCGCGCGGCTGCTCCGCGCGAGGCTGATTCGGGCAGCGCAAATTTGCGAAGATTCGGTATTTGTCCGATCCTGGTTTTTGGTTCGACTTGCTCCCCGAGGGCCTCCGATCCTGTCTCTAAAATTTGATGCATCGGAGGTGGATCGGCCTGAGAAGTCGAGTAGCGAATTGGCCGCGTTCGGTTCGCGAAAGGGCGTCGCGGCCGTTTTTTGTTGCTGGTCCAGGTCCGTCGGTTTCGGCCCGAGGCCGTTTTCATTGGTTTACTAAAGGGAGGTTTGTCCACCGCCGAATGCACCCCCGAATTAGTTCTTCCGTCGAATATCTACGACCAGTATTTAGAACGTGTTCAGTAGATCTACTGAACAGTCGATGGTTTTTGTTCCGCATGTTCGGCGGGAACACCACACGCTCAGAATTGGGCAGAGGGAAGAGGGAAGGTTTCTTAGAAGCACCCATTGCTTCTCAGGAGGCGCGGGCCTTGTCTGCTGATGCACGGCCCGCGCCTTCTGGGAAGCAGCTGCCTTCTGAGAAGCCTCCCCCCTAACCCTAAACCGGGCCTGTCCTTCTACAGGGGGACATTCAAACATAGTTTTAAAACATAGCCGGGGGATTATTTCTTGAGTATGTTTGAGCACTGTTATGATATGTTTTGACTATTTTTATTCTGCCGCCCAGAATCCGCCTGTAGGGGGACAGGGCCGACCCAACCCTAATCTCTTTGTGCGCGCCGCCGAAAGGCCGTGGTGGCCCTCCTGTGGGCTCTGGGCGCCCTCGCGAGGCCCGCGGCCGTTTGCTGGCACGCCGAGCTGGCGGCCCTGATCATGCAGCGCCGCGCCGGCTTCTGGGTCAACCAACAGCTCGTCCGCACGCCGGACGACAGCCTTGGCAGGTTCCTCGGAGGAGGACACGGTGCGGTAGGTTCGTGTCGTGTCGACCGGCGGCGACCCCGCCAGCGGCGCTTCGTCTTTAACGCCGCGGGCGACCCAGAATCGTTCGATGTGGAACGGGTTGGACGTTTCGGAAACGGCCGATCGTTTAAGTTTTAAGTCGTGCCTGTCCCCCTACAGGAGGATTTTCGACGAAAAATACAACATACCAGAAAAATACAACAAACAAGTCAACAAAATCATAAAAAAATAGTCCCCAGACTTTTTTATGGTTCGTCGGAAATCCCCCTGCAGGGGGGAAAAGCCCGACTCAACTCAAGTTTGAACAATCCCCGCGGTGTCAGAGACCAACGCCGAAGTCGGCACGACACGACCCTGACGCACCCCTACGGCCACCCTGCCTTCGTGCTCCCCTTCTGTGGCCTCCTGGGCGGCCCCCCTCGCCGCCGCTGGGTTCGCCCCGAAGTTCTTGTCAGGACGCACCCTGGGAGATGCCCCAGGGAGCGGCATTATCTCAGAGCCCCGAATCATCAGGGGTAACTCGGGTCAGGGATAACTCGGGTTCGTTTTTCGGGAATCCAAACCCGAGTTACCCCGGACCCGAGTTACCCCGGATAACTCGGGCGCCCAATTATCGTCAGCTACCCCCAATTTGGGGAAACAAAAAGTGGCATAAGCATAAAAACTCCGAGGTCCGCGCGGATTTCTCGGATCGGCGCTGGGGCCCCCCGGCGGCGTCTCCGGCGCGGACCTCCGAGCTTTTATGTTTATGCCACTTGTTGTTCCCCTAGAGATGCCCAGGGAGTGGTATTGTCCGTAGCTACCCCCATTGGTCTCTCCAGGTTCGTGGTGGGCGGGAGGCTTCCAGAGCTGGCGACCTACGTGCGGTGGGCCTACGGCGGCGGGCACCTGGACCTTCGCGCCGCCGACCTGATCCCCCTGCTCATCGACCTCGACCCGAGCACCACGGCGCACCTGCCGGTGCCCCCGATGCCCGCTCAGGCGCTGCGCTGCGCCAAGGGGCTGGCGGGCCTGGTGACGGTCGACGGGCGGTACTACTGCTTCCCGCACAGCGCCTGGGAGAGGAGCGGCCGCTCCGACACGAGGCCCTTCTCCGAGCTCGCGGCGGCGGCCGGCCCGCTCTCCGAGGAGCCCCTTTGGGGCCGCCGCCTGACGACGACGACGACGACGACGACGACGACGACGACGACGACGACGGCGACGGCGAGGAGCGCTCGAGCCCACCGCCGAGCGTCCTCGGCGACATGGCCTCCAACATGTCCGACCCGAGCTCCGCCCTCGAGCAGCCCGCCCCGGGCCCGCCGAGGCGCCCGCCCGGGGGGGGGGGGCCGCCGCTAAAACGACGCGAAGATCGGGACAAAATCGGATCGGGATAACTCGAAATCTCTGAGAATGGGCGGGTTTGGAGGATGTATTGGGCGCCGCGGCCGCTCTCAGAGCGTTCCGGAACGCTCTGAGAGCGCTCCGGAACGCTCTGGAGCGATTTATCCTGATCCTGGCCCTGTTTCAGCCGCAGCCGACGGGTGACCGACACACACCCGTACGGTCCAGACGGGCGTGTCCCCCTACAGGGGGTTTTCGACGAAAAATAGAAAAAATACCCCGAAAAATAATCAAACAGTGGTCCAAAAATAGTCTGGGGACTATGTTTGAATATTTGTTGACCTTTTTGGGGCATTTGTCGAATATTTTTTATCTTTCGTCGAAGATCCCCCTGTAGGGGGACACGCCCGACTTAACCGTACGGTCCAGTCGGGCGTGTCCCTCTACAGGAAGAATGTTCAAACCATGGTTGAGCGTCTTCTGAAAAAGTTTGGGGGCATTTTTGTTTGATGTTTCGTGCCAGGCCCGCCTGTAGGGGGACACGCCCGCCCTGGATCAATGCGGTGGAGACCCATGCCAAGAGACGCCCTGCTTGCCTCCATAGGGAAACAAAGAGTGCCATAAACATAAAAATTCGAGGTCCGCGCAGATTTTGCGGATCCGCGCTGGACCCCCTTGGCGGCGCCTACGGCGCCGCCCCTGGCGCGCGGAGCGCGCCAGGGAGGCGTGGTTCCAAGAAATCCGCGCGGACCTCCGAGTTGTTATGTTTATGCCATGTTCCGTCTCCCTAACTCCAGGGTGCCATGGGTCTGTTGGGTTTCGATGGTTCTGCTATGAGAAGCGTGGCGCTCCCACACGAGAAATCAATGGACATCCTGGGGTCTCAGGGTGGGGTTTCTTGTGGACGGTGTCGTGTGGACTGGCCTCCACTGTACCCACATAGGACGGTCGTTGAAAGAAGGTGTTTCTGGGTCCCCCGATCCCGATCTATTTCTAGCGCCCTCCTGCTTCAAGAATCGGCATGGCTTTCATGTGTTTTGTTATAATACTTGGGAGGGCCTGAACCCAATCTACTTGATCCGCCTTCGTACTTCATGTGTTGACCTGCTTTTTCCAACCGACGTGTAGGGAAGTCGGAAGGAGGTGGACTGGCTATGGGTGGGGTGCGGGTTCAAGCAATAAATAAACCTGAATTGTCGGAGGTCCGGGGGGATCTCTTGGATTTTGGCCCTGGCCCGCCTTCGCGGGTGCAGCCCTTACGCTTAAATCGGGCACGTCTCTCTACAGGAGGAACATTCATTGTTTCTAACAACAATCGCACGTGGACGATGTTTGCAGATGTTCAGGATAGTTTGGGACGTTCTCTTAGTAGGTTTTCCCATACCCTAAGGATGGGGTTATTGTTATGATTTCGACCGCGCGGAGAGAACACCTCACACCCTCAGGTCATCATTCCCTGTCTCACTCACATGTAGACTCATTCATATTCAGACTCACTCATACTCAGATGCACGTGCTCTTAGATTCATGATACTCAGTTGTCTCATGCTCGGGATCACTCGTGTGCAGACTCACTCACACTCATGGCACTTCCGCGCTCACACTAACACATACACACACATACACACACATTCACACACACACACGCACACGCACGCGCGCGCACACACACGCACACACGTTGTGAGGATGTCTCATGCGAGGCGCTGGTTTCAGTACTCCCAAGGGGGGGGGTTCGCCAGGGTGGCACATCACGGGCCCGTTCGCGCCCAGATTGGGGGGACGTCTCAGGCGGTTTGCCTGTTTGGGTGTCCAACATCTCTTTCGGAGCAGTGTCCGAGGATGTCTCAGGCGAGGCGCTGGTTGCAGCACTCCCAAGGGGGGCGCCAGAGGGTATATCACAGGCCCGTTCGCGCCTAGAGCTTCTCCTCTCTCTCCTCCCTTTCCCTATGAACGCCTGTCAGGGAAATCCATCCGTGAAGACGAGAACGGGCCACGGGCCCGTGATATACCCGTTGGCGCCCCCCCTTGGGAGTGCTGAAGCCAGCGCCTCGCCTGAGGCATCCGCGGAAACTGCTCCGAAAGAGAAGGACTTTGGGGACCCAAACAGGCAAACCGCCTGAGACGTCCCCCCAATCTGGGCGCGAACGAGCCCGTGATATACCCCTGGCGCCCCCCCCCCCCCTTGGGAGTGCTGAAACCAGCGCCTCGCTTGCGACATCCTCGGAAACTGCTCCATAAGAAAAGGATGTTGGGGACCCAAACAGGCAAACCGCCTGAGACGACCCCCCGATCTGGGCGCGAACGGGCCCGTGATATACCCCCTGGCGCCCCCCCCTGGGAGTGCTGAAACCAACGCCTCGCCTGAGGCATCCTCGGAAACTGCTCCGAAAAAGAAGGAAGTTGGGCACCCAAGCAAGCAAACCGCCTGAGACATCCCCCAAGGAGGAGGAGGAGGAGGAGGAGGAGGAGGAGGGGGAGGACAGAAGGAGGAAGCAACTATGTATAGTCGTCGTAGTCGTCGGCGTCTCTCTCGGCCTCGTTTTCCACGTGGATTCGCTGACACTCGGAGATTGACAATGACAATGTCTTCTACCGAAGTCTGCCATTACTATGAGATTCACATCTGGGGATCCCCACGTCGAGTAATGTATTGGTTCCCCAAATCCGCCTGTTGGGGGCCATGGCCGACCTGACCTTACGCTCTCACCGCTCGCAGCGGCTTCGACTCCTGCTCACCACACGCCTCCTGAGGGCCCCGCCCCCAGCCCCCCGCGCTGCCCTCGAGGGGCCGGTCCCGCCGGACTGTCATCTTCGGTGGCAACTCATGGAGGCTTGGCGCACCCTGTTGGTTCCGTTTTTAGCGTCGATCAGCGTCTGGGACAGCGCCGATTTCGCGCCAGCTGGCGTCGATCAGCGTCGGTTTCGCGCCGACCAGCGCCGATCAGCGCCGATGCAGCGTCGATCTGGCGTCGATCTGGCGTCGCCCCGCGTCGCTTCGCGCAGGAGCTAACGAGATGGTGTGGGAGGCTCCCGTGGGTTGCCACCGAAGACACCGCGCGCCTCGCGCTCGCCTCGCCTCGCCTCGCCCGGCCCCCCGCGGAGGAGCAGCCCCGCCCGCAGCCGCGCGGCGGCAGGCGCGGGCGCCGCCCCCGCGGGCGAGGCCCGCGTGCGCCGGGCGCCGAGCCGCGCGGCCGCCTCGCGGCCACGAGGCCCAGGGCCACCAGGTACCAAGGAACCCCAGGAAGCGAGCGGCGTTTCTCCGCGGACGATCTCCGCCTCCTCCTCCTCCTCCTCCTCCTCCTCCTCCTCCTCCTCCTCCTCCTCCTCTCCTCCTCCCCTCCTCCTCCTCCTCTCCTCCCTCCTCCTCCTCCTCCTCCTCCTCCTCCTCCTCCTCCTCCTCCTCCTCCTCCTCCTCCTCCTCCTCCTCCCCCTGCTCCTCCTCCTCCTCCCCTCCTCCTCCTCCTCCTCCTCTGTCCTCCTCCTCCTCCTCTCCTCCTCCTCCTCCTACTCCTCCTCCTCCTCCTCCTCCTCCTCCCACTCCTCCTCATTATCATCATCATCATCATCATCATCATCATCATCATCATCATCATCATCATCATCATCATCATCATCATCATCATCATCATCATCATCATCATCATCCTGCTCCTCCTCCTCCTCCTCCTCCTCCTCCTCCTCCTCCTCCTGTCTTCCAGCAGTTGCATCGTGCTGCGCGGCTTTAGGCCCGCGCTCAAGGGCACCCTCCCACACTGCAGTGGGGTCGCGCAGAGGGCGAACATGTGGAGAGGCATCGGCGTCATCGCATTCTAGAGTACTCCTCCTCCTCCTCCTCCCCCTCCTCCTCCTCCTCCTCCTCCTCCTCGTCTCCCGAGGCGTCGCCGGTCCGCAACCCAGGAGTGGTACAGTGCATAGTTGCGCACCTTACCGCGCAGGGGCGGGGCATGAACGACGTCCAGACATGCACGGTGCGTGAGCACCGTTCTCGTAATTCCCCCCGGCGATATCTTCAGCACCGAAAGTGAAGAGAATCTGGCAGGTTCGTGCGGCGATGGCGCGCCAGCGACGCCGGTGAAGGTGTCCCAATTTGATCTCCGCATGACATGACGACGCGGGAGCACCGAGGCACACGGTGACGCCAGACGGAATCCAGCCTTGAACGATCGGGGCCGCGATCGGTGCAAGGTCGAAAGATCGACGCGATGTCAAAAACCTTTTTGCACGCGCAGACGCCGCACGAATCTGCCGTATCGTCAGCACCAAACATGAAAACATATTTATTTTCGGCGGATCCCCTCCGGCGATATCGCTACCGCATTCCTACAACAAGTGAACATTCATTTTCGCCGCTCACCTGGGACTTGGCTTACGCGAAAGGGTGACCCCTCGCTGGGGTGACCTTAGCTGCCGGCTCTCAGGAATCCCCCAGCAATGGCCTGCGCGCTTGGTTTTGACCTCCCCGCGGCCCCCTGCAATCAGCGTTAAATCGGGCATGTTCCTCTACAGGAGGCATATTCAAAAATAATATACAAATAGTCTGGGGACGATTTGTTGAACATGTTTTGCCTATGTGGGGGGCATTTGCTGAGTATTTTTCATTTTCGCCCAAAGTCCTCCTGTAGGGGGACATGCCCGACCTCTAAGTCTAGGATCACTCCCTGCGCGGGGCCAACAGGAGGGCGTTTCCTGTGCACCATACGGGCCATACCCCGCGTTATGACCCGCCCCCCCTCCCTTCCCCCTCACCATCACGTAACGCTCCCCCCCCCAGTGCGTCACCAGCCGCAGTGCGTCCACAGTCTGCGGTGCCTGCCAGACTCCCACGGCGGGACGGGGAGAGCGTCACGTTATGCCATGGGGCGGGGGGGGGAGGGGGCGATCTTTGGGAGGACTGTAAGCATGAGCAGTGTTCGAGGAGAGGAGGTATGCCCCTCCTACAGGGCACAACTTCGCTTCTCTATTAGTGTGTGGGTGTATATACATATTTACGGGTGCCACTTATTCGATCGGCAGCCGCATTGACTTCACAATGAAGCCCTCCCCCCTCATGACGCCCGTTGTCGCCGCGCAACCCGGAAGCCGCCCGGGGATCTCCGCGGCCAGCCGGGGGGGGGAGGAGCGAGACAGGGGGCGTTCAGAAGGCTCCGAAGGCCCCCGGCCTTCTGAGAAGTGTGTTGAGCCTTCCCCGAAGGCACGGGAAACCCCTCAGCAGGCGCCAGGGCTTTTGAGGAGCCCCGCTCCGCTTTCTGGGAAGGCCTCCGCCTCCTCACTTCCAACCCCCCTTTCTCGCCGCCGAGCTCTCGCTGATGGGCCTGTCTTCCACCACCACCACCACCACCATAAGTTGTAGGGGGAGGGAGGTGGAGGACGAGGAGGAGGAGGAGGAGAACGAAGAGGAGGAGGAGCAGGAGGAGGCGGAGGAGGACCCCCTCCCCCTCCAACTCATGGTGGTGGTGGTGGAAAACAGGCCCATCGCTCGCCGCGAGAAGAACAAGCTATCCAGGGAGGCATCGAGGACGAGGGTGCCCGTCGCCGCCGCCGTCGCGCTGCCGGTCGCTTTTTTTTCTGCTGGCCTGCGTGGGGGTTTGGCGCCGCCACGGCCTGGGCGCAGCTCGGGAAGCTGGCTGGAACGGGCCCCGGGGAGGGCCGAGGGCTCCGTTTCGAGCGGGCTCGGGGGCGGAAAAGAGGGGGGTGATGACTAGGGGGGGGGATATCATGGCGGGGGGCATGGTACTTCCCCAGATTTCATGGCGCCTCTTCTTGTTTCAATACGGTCCCGGCCCCCCCGCTGAACCGCGCACATGCCGCCGGCCATGATTTGCACCCCCCCCTCTTGGACACCCCCCTCTTGGCCGCTCCCGACGGGTGCTCGGCCGTCCCGCCCGGGGCTCGGCGATGTACAGGATCTGGCTTGAATATCAGGAAAGCACTCTCACTTTGCAATCAAGAGCGGATCGGTCGTCCCCTGGGTTTGCATGCGTGCCGCGACCGTTTTGGCGGCGAGTCCCCCTGGTGTTCCTTCGGACTTCGTAGGCTCACTTGGAACAAGAAGGGGGTTCGTTCCTTAGTGATCGTTCCTTAGGTCAAGCCGGATATCGTAGCACCCCGCAGTGTAAGGGTAATGTGGCGGGCGCGGGGTGGGTCGCGGGTGGGTCGCGGGCGGGTTGCAGGGTGGGTCGCGGGCGGGTGGCGGATTGGTCGCGGGTGGGTCACGGGTGGGTCACGGGTGGGTCGCGGTCGGATTGCGGGTTGGGTCGTGGTTGGGGCGACGATAAGAGCAACAACACAAAACATAGCAAGCCAAAAACAAGGATTACAACAACACCAACGACAACGACAACAGTAACAACAACAACGACAACGACAACGACAACAACAACGACAGTCAGTTTTAAATTGTTCGCCTTTATCTGTTCGAGTGTCAGCCAACGTGTCTTTCACAAACCCTCGATACCCGCCCTTTTCGTCTTCGATCGTACCCTCTTTGGGGGGTATGCCTTTCTTCCCTGCAGGCCGGGCCCCGGCATGCGGCGGGGCGGCCGCGGACCGTCTGCTTGGCCAGTGGCAGCGCTGACCGGCGGCAGCCCGACCCCAAAGGAGACGGACAGGGGACCGACCACGACGACGACGACGACGAGCAAAAGCGCGAGCAAGAGGGAGAGTGACAGCGGGACCACGGAGGGCAGCGAGGAGCCGCAAAGGACAGCAAGGGGGCCACGAAGAGCGACAGCGGGGCCGCGAAGGGCATGCGTATGGGGCCACAAAGGGCGCAAACGAGCGGGGCCACGAAGGGCAGATAATGCGGGGCCACAGAAGGTCAACGACGGGGCCACTGGGGGTAGCAACGGGGCCACGTAGGGCAACCAGGGGAGCACACAGGGCGACAGCAGGGCCACGAACGGCATGCACATTGGGCCGCGACTGGCGCGAACAAGCGGGGGCCACGAAGGCACGTGTATATTGGGCCGCAGAGGGCAAGGACTGGGCCACCGAGGGCAGCGACGCGACCACGAAGGCCAGCGAGGGAACCACGGAGGGCGACAGAGGGGCCAAGAAGTGCATGCATATGGAGCCACGACGGGCGCGAACGAGCGGGGGCCACGAAGGGCACGCATACACACACAGGGCCACGAAGGGCAGCGAGGGAGCCACGAAGGGCTGCAACGGGGCCACGGAGGGCTACAACGGGGCCATGAAGGGCAGCGAGGAGGCCACGAAGGGCTGCAACGCGGCCGCGAAGGGCAGCGAGTGGGCCACCAAGGGCAGCGAGTGGGCCACGGAGGGCTACAACGGGGCCACGAAGGGCAGCGAGGGGGCCACGAAAGGCTGCTACGGGGCCACGAAGGGCAGCGAGTGGGCCACGAAGGGCAGCAACGGGGCTACGAAGGGCAGCGAGGGGGCCACGAAGGGCTGCAACGGGGCCACGAATGGCAGCGAGTGGGCCACGAAGGGCTGCAAAAGGGCCACAAATGGCAGCGAGATCCCGATTCCTAAGTAGGCTCTGAGGGAGTCCGAAGCGTGAGCGCGACTCCTGGATGCCTAAGTGTCGGGGACGCGGCGCTTGAGTAAATTGCGGGGAGTGTCAACGCAAGAGCGCGATTCTTGAGTAAATTGCAAAGAAGTCTCCAGCGAGAGCGCGACTCCAGAGCGCCGAGAGACCGGAGAGAGCGATTCCTAAATATATGTACGGAAGTCCTTGGCGAGAGCGCGGCTCCTGCGTAAAATGCGAGGAAGTCTCAAGCGGGAGCGAGGGTCCAGGTTAAATTGTGGGGACGTCTCCGGCGGGAGCCGTTGTTGTTGTAATCCGGGGGCCAGTTACGCAGTTTGAGCCGAGTCATTTTCCCTGATTATAAACCGAATGCGAACCCTGGGAGACGCTTCAATTGAAAAAAGCACAGTAGTCACCTGAGGGGTTCAACAACAACATCAGCAACGACAGCGACAACGACAACCACAGCAACAGCAGCAGCAACAGCAACAGCAACAGCAGCAACAATAACATCATCAACTGTAACAACAAAAAACCCCCCCCAAACAACAGCAGCAGCAACAACAATACATGCATCAACAATGTCACCACGAACTACAATAAGAACACCAGCATCGTTACCATTAACAAAACAATAATCCGCACAGCAGAACTTCCCTTCAGTCACGTATCCAGGGACAGCGAATGGCCGTTCGGTTCCCTCACTCTGATCAGATATTTGTAATTCGCAAATCATAGGATGCATTCATACATTCGCATTTCCGTTTTTAGATTGCACTAACCCCGTCTACCTTCTAGTAGTCGATGAGGTCACGCCGATGTAGTGTCGATTAGCGTCGATGTGGTGTCGACTAGCCTCGACTGAGCGTCCATTGGCGTCGATGGACTTCGATTGGCATCGATTCGCAAGAGCCGATAAGATGGTTCGGAAGGCTTCCATGAGTTGCCGCGGAAACTTGTGTGCTCCGCACCGCATGGGCGTTTCCGAGTCGCCGTTGATCTTCTACCCAGGGATGGTACCGTGCCCACTTGTGTGTCGGCTTTGGGCGTCTACTGAACAGCCCTGCCCTGCTTGAGTCCTGTGGCTGCGTTTACTCAACGACTTGGCGTGCCGAGGTTACAGTCGGGGCCCTGAAGAAGGAGCCCTTTTCGTTGGGAAGGGGCTCCGCGTTCCTTAAGTGTTTCACAGCTTGCCTCAGGTTTTCCTTATATTTTCGACAGGGAATCGCAGGTTAACTCATGGAAAAAAGGGGCCTCGTTCCTTATTTTGGGTTCCTTAGGTCAAGGCCCCGACTGTATTGTTGTGAGGGGTGGATTTGTTTTG